CTTCCTCTGTCCCACTAAAATAAATAATAAAATAAAAACAACCCAACATCACCTCTCAATATCGTCTTAGTCAAACTGTGCCCTTGGCTTCTCACTCTTCAGATGTGTGCCCCAGGTCTCTGCTTGACTGTGTTTGCCTTGACTACAGTGTGCTTGCTTTGAGGGAATTCTATTTTTACTTGTTCAAAGCTAATTCCTCATGTTGGGAAATGAGGTCAAGTAAACAAACAGCCACAGTCCTGACTCATAGCCACAGGTCCTGGAGCTACTGCCTGGTTTAGAAGAGCTGTCCGTGAAACCTTTCCCTGAATGAAATGACACCTTTTCTATTTTGCCTTCAGAGGTATCATCTTTTGAATTTCCTCTGACTCTCAGAAATATTCCAGAGATGAGCTATATGAGGCTGCCAAGCTTCTGTTAGTCACAGAGAATTTCTCCCAGCAATTCACCTAACAGAGACTTGTCATAGACAGGGCTTTGCTCACCATAGTGACTGCAACTGCTATCCAGACTGAGATCTGTTGAACTTGGGCATTAGGTCCATCTCAGAGTTTCCAAATGGCCTGTGAGGTTTCTTGCGCTTGGGAGATGGAGTACCTCTTTGTTTGCTGTGAGTGTCTAAAGCTTATCTTATATTTTGTCAAATTGTTCTTTAAAAAACTCTCTCTCTCTCTCTCTCTCTCTCTCTCTCTCTCTGTATGTGTGTGTGTGTGTGTGTGTGTGTGTGTGTGTGTGTGTGTGTGTGTACCCACATGTGTATGAGGACAGTGGGTGACTTCTATCACTATGACTTATCTCTACAAGATCTGTCACTGAACCTGGAGCTAACCATTTTCTGTTAGGATGGCTGACCAGCAAGTCCCCAGGATCCTCCTTTCTCTGCCCTACCTCACTGCTGGGCTGGGTTACAGGTATACACAACTGTACCTGGTTCTCCTCCTCCTCCTCCTCCTCCTCCTCCTCCTCCTTCTCCTTCTCCCTCTCCTTCTTCTTCTTTTCACATGGGTGAAGTATGTCTGAAGTCAGGTCCTCATGCTTGAACAACCCCAAATGTGTTCTTCTGGTCAGCTGACAGTTTAGTTTTTCCACATGGACATATGTAAGCCACGAGAAAGAAGGTAGTTGTCATCCATGGAGGGTAGACATAGTGCTTACAACATTGTCTTTCTACAGCTCTGTGGTGCTTATACCTACATCATTTCCTGACTTCTGTCTCTTATGGTTCCAAGCAGCTGTTTCTTTCAGGCACTGAACCAGACTGGATCAGAGCATTCTGTTAAACCTGTGAGACTGTAACAAACTCCCTTTTTAACGTTTGTTGCTCTATCTTGGGCTTCACTAGGCAGTTTTAGATGTTGTAGGAGTTTATTCTGACTTTATACTGTAGCATTAAATTGAACTCCTTTGTGTGGCATTTCAAAATATGTCATATGATTTGATCATTTGATCATATGATCATATGAAATACTAAGAAGACATAACAATTTGAGACCTCATAGGAAAACACATGATCTGTCGGGATCTAGATTCCATTGTTTTCCTGCTGTGTTGTGAGCACCTCCTTGCTCCAAATTTTGCCTGTACAAAATAGAAAATTAAGTATTATGATTCCTATCTTGATAAAGTAAAAATAAGATGCCGATGGAGGAATACCAGTCTTGATCAGCACAGAAAGAAATGAGTTGTTAGAAGTTTTCAAAACAAAGTTTTAGCAGATATAAAAATTTCATTTCAAAAAAATTTCATTTCTGTGTATGTGCGTGTGTGTATGTATGTTTCGCGTATGTGTGGACAAGTAGCTGTGTGTGTGAGAGAAGGACCAAAGCTGATGTTGTAATCTTCTTATTTCAATTTATTCAATGAGGCAATATCTTTCAATCAAACCCAGAGCTCACTAATATAATACTGGATAGTCCTGCTAGCCAATTTTCTCTAAGAATATCTAGTCTCTGCCTTAACAGGCTGGAATTACAGGTGGGTCACCATACTCAGTTAGCATTTACATGGCTTTTGGGGGGACCAGAACTCCGATTTTCAGCTTGAGTGGCAAACACTTTAACAACTGAGCCGTCTCCCCAGTCCTAGAAAAAAAAATCTTCGTATTTGTCAAAATGTTTGGATATGAAGATTGTTCTGTTTTGATTTGTTTTTGAGGTAGTGTCTGGCCAGCTTTCCTGCCTTAATGTTTAAAGAGCTAGGAGTTCCCATTCCAAACTGGGGGCCAAGAGTCTTCTCTGTTTAACCCTGGAATTGTTAGGTGCACAGGGATTTGCTACCGAAGAGCATTTCTCCATTTTTTTTTTTTTGTCTTCTTTTTTTTTTTTTTATTAATTTATTTTGCAATACAATTCAGTTCTACATATCAGCCACGGATTCCCTTGTTCTCCCCCCTCCCGTCCCCCTCACCTTCCCCCCAACCCCCCCCATTCCCATCTCCTCCAGGGCAAAGCCTTCCCCACAGACTGAGGTCAACCTGGTAGACTCAGTCCAGGTAGGTCTAGTCCCCTCCTCCCAGGCCGAGCCAAACAATCCTGCATAGGTCCCAGGTTTCAAACAGCCAACTCATGCAATGAGCACAAGATCTGGTCCCACTGCCTGGGTGCCTCCCAAACAGATCAAGCCAATCAACTGTCTCATCCGTTCAGAGGGCCTGATCCAGTGGGGACCCCTCAGCCATTGGTTCATAGTTCATGTGTTTCCATTCATTTGGCTATTTGTCCCTGTGCTTTATCCAACCTTGGTCTCAACAATTCTCGCTCATATAAACCCTCCTCATTCTCACTAATTGGACTCCCAGAGATCCACCCGGGGCCTAGTCATGGATCTCTGCATCCAGATTCCTCAGTAGTTGGATGAGGTTTCTAGCACAACAATTAGGGTGTTTGGCCATCCCATCACCAGAGTAGGTCAGTTCGGGCTGTCTCTCGACCACTGCCAGCAGTCTGTTGGAGGCTACCTGGAAAACAGGACCCCAAGAAAGACACAGGGATCACCCAATGACAGAGAAATGGAATGAGATCTACATGAACAGCCTGGACATGAGTGGGGGTAATGAAAGGCGAGGGTTGAGGGAAAGAGAGCTTGGGGGAGCGGGAGATCCCAGCTGGATCAACAACAGAGAGGGAGAATAAGGAATAGGAGACCATGGTAAATAAAGACCACATGAGAATAGGAAGAAGCAAAGTGCTAGAGAGGCCCACAGGAATCCACAAAGATACCCATGCATTTCTCCATTTTTTTTTTTTTTTTTTTTTTTGGTTTTTCGAGACAGGGTTTCTCTGTGTAGCTTTGCGCCTTTCCTGGTACTCGCTTTGGAGACCAGGCTGGCCTCGAACTCACAGAGATCCGCCTGGCTCTGCCTCCCGAGTGCTGGGATTAAAGGCGTGCGCCACCACCGCCCGGCCTGCATTTCTCCATTTTTGACATTAGCAGAGACTGCTTAACAAAATCAAGGCCTCCCTTGCAGCTAGCTGTAGGCTAGATCAGTCCTAGAAAATAAAATACAAAGGTGAGACTTTCTTCTGTGAAGGATTTTGCTTCCTACCTTTTAAAAACATGAAGGAATAGAGATTGTGAATGGTGATGTTAGCCATGGGTTTCAAAGTTCACTTAGCCAGGATGAGAGGTTATGAAGAGCAACTGCATAACATAGGTAATGTTTAGTAATATCTAGGGGATGTCTTTCTGTACACTGTGAATATATGTTGTTTCCATTGGTTAATAAATAAGCTGCTTTGGCTTATGGCAAGGTAGCTTAGAGGCAGGCAGGAAACCCAAGGAGAGAGATAGGAAAGAGAAAGGCAGAGTCTGGAGAGACGATAGCCTGCTGCCCAAGGAGCAATATGCCAGCAGACCAGAAAAGTCCAGAACATGTGGCAAAACATAGATCAATAGAAATGGGTTAATTTAAGATATAAGAGCTAGCTAGCAAGAGGCCTGCCCTAGGCCATACAGTTTGTAAATAATATTACGCCTCTGAATGATTATTTTATAAGTGGTTGCAGAACTGTGGGGTTGGGCAGGATGGGAGAAAACTTTCAACTACAAATAATATACCATGTGCTTGAAAAATCTATAGGACAGTAGATTATAATTGTTCTCACAATAGGAAAATCAGTATGTGAAGTAAACATACATTAGTTTGATTTGTTCACACTTGGTACAATAAATATATATACTTTTGTCTGTTAGTTACACCTTAATGAAGCTGGGGAAGCAAAAGTGGAATAAGAACTGAAAGGACACACTCAGGAACATCTTATCTAATCTACTTCTCATTGTGTTTGATGTGGCGGTACCCAACGTGTTAGATGCTGTCTCCAAAGATGAGGTGATCATAGACCCAGCATGAAAACCAACACTGAGGACAGGACTGAAATGATGGGAGAAGCTACTTCCAGTAGATTTTTGGAAGACAAAACTCATGTATAGCTCTATTTAATTGCAAGTAAAAAATACTTCCTAAACAATAATGAGGACTCTCTGAGTACAGGCTTAGAGGCCACAATCAGCAATATTGATGATACTCCCAGGAGGCTTACAGCAAGTGGCCTAGTACTGGGGATCTGTTCTTCAGTACTCATGTTTATTACATGTGGTGCTTCTTTTGGGAAGTCCTCATCACAGTGAAGCAGGCATGGTTTCATGTCTTTCCTTTCTTATTTATTTTTTTAAATTTTATGTGTATGGGTGTGTTGCTTGTGTGTGTCTGTATGCCATGTGTACACAGTACGTGTAGAGGCCAGAAAAGGATGTCAGATCCCTGAGAACTGGGGTTATAGATGGTTTTGAGCCACCATGTGGATACTCAAAATTGAATCCAGGTCCTCTGGTTGAACAGTTGGTGCTCTTAATCACTGAGCTGTCTGTCTGACCACCACAGTTTCTTATAATCATAAATTTATGTGGAAATAATTTTTATTGTGTTAAACATCAGGTAAATTATTATGAGACTTTCAAGTGCAGAGACCAGGCCCTGTTGGGGTTATCTGTTCCTCAGGTCCAGCACTTGTCTCTTCCCTAGAAGAATAGGCGCTCCAAAACGGTTTCCAGAATAGCAAGAGACTATTTTGGTGACAACAGTATTTTAATTATTGTAAAACACTTCCAAGTACTGTATAGCAGATTCCTAGAAAATATTGGTGTTTTCCCCCTGGATCCATTTTAGAAGATATATCGGTTTTCAACATTTAACAGTAGGCTCGTATTTTAAAGAAAACCTTACATTTCTATTTCAGGACCATCTTTCTGCATCCCAGATTTTTCACCTCCTACCTCTGTAGCTGCCATTGAAAGATGAGACTGAGTTTAGCCTGGTAATTCTGGGGCTGCAATGATGCATCACCTCATTGAAGATGCTGTTATGTTCAGCAGACTGTGCTTAGCAAAGAAATAACTCGTACGCAGACATTTGGAGAAACATTTAAAAATTGTTCAAGTTGAACCAACAGTAAGATGCACTCCCTCTAAAGCCTTGGCTAGCAGAATGTCATGGCCCAGTCACTCTTTAGATTGTGTCCAAGAACTGGCTAAGTTTAAAATTTATTCACTTCCCTACTCAACATAGACCTTTGAATGACCTGCTATGTGTTAGAGTTTTTTTCCAACATAATATTTTTATTAATTATTTGGGAATTTCATACAGTGCACCCTGATCACACTTACGTCTCATTCCTCCCTGGTACTCCCTCCCACCTTGCACTCCACGCCCCCCCCCCCCCCCCCCCCCCCCCGCAAAAAAAAAAAACCCTGCAAAACTCCAAATCTAATTTGTGTTGCCCATATCCTCATTGAAGCACGGTCAAACTCCCAGGGGCCAGCCCCTTAATGAACACTGAGGGTGTCCCCCTGTCCCCCTCCACCAGAAACCATCAACTATGAAGAGTTACACTGCAGTATCCCTTTCACAATTTTTTATATTTAAAATGTAATTATTTTTGATGTAATTCTTGATGTATACTGTCAAATTACTTTAAAAAAATTATAGAAATTACTTCACCTCTCAAACCTATCCTGACAAAAATGTTTAGGTAGCCAAATTTCATTTTTTCCTCACTACCAGCAATTAACAGAAGTCCATATCCTTTCAAGCATCTGTGATAACATTTCTGATGGTTTCATGAGGGTAATTCCTAAAGGGATTGCTGGATCAATGGGCATTCACATTTTCAAAAGTGTTCATTTTTAAGGTCTCTCTTCAATAGCTTCCTGTCTGGACTTTTGGGGGTGGGGGGGTTATTGCAGAAGGCTTCCATGTCTTTCATTCTCAGTTATGGATCCATAGCAGCCAGTGACAGATCATGGACATGGTTTCTGGTGCCAACATGGACCACAGATTCCAACATAGACTCTGGTGGCAGCACAGACCACAGAAGTCTTTCGAGGGGACTTGATCCAGAAAATGAGCCTTTGTCTTCATCTTCATTTCAGGTATCTTATTGTTGCTCAGAGTCAGGGTGATTGTGCAGTTGGGCAGTGTGTTGGCAGGATCTATGCAAGCCCTAGGCTGTTACACATCACTGTGTCCTTGGTGCCCACCACCCTGCTGGTACCCAGGCCATGACCACCATGTTTGCTGCCAATGGGCAGTGTTCTCTCCTCAAGCAGGGCAAGTAGCAGCAGCTGCAGCTCAGTGGCCAGTGACATGACGAGGCGGGCCCTTTCGTTTTCTGTGGCCATGCTCCGTACTATGCTCCCCCATCGCTGCCACCACATCTCTGGTTCCACTTCTCCCCACTGCCACTCTGTTCTGCCATCTTTTTCTCCAATTCTTTTTTCTTTTCTTTTCCAAATGCTGGGAATATATCAGTAAGTGTTGTTTTTTAATGACTCTAACTTCATGGATCCTGCATATATATTCTATATTACTAATAGAAATCGTACTTTTGAATCAGAAACAAACTTTCTGACAAAGTCCCAGATCCACAGAAGTTCACCAATTCATCATTATTATGAGTAGGGTTCCAGCTTCAGTTTAAGGCTTGTATAAATCTTATTAATGTGTCACCCCAAACAGATCTACTGCTAATTTCTTGATTCATCCATCTGGTCACAGCTCACGCCAGTTTCCTTTTGGTTTCTAGGATCTGCATATTGTTTGATGCCTTTGCAGACATAATCTCAGAGCTCATGTATGACCCACTTCCATGCAGGTATCTGATAATATTGATGTGACTTCTCAAGCTAGAAGGAACAATAACCCTGTGCCATATGGAAATGTGAATGGGACTGACTGACCTTGTGCTGATGGAAGAGCAGAACAATTGCTTCAAAGTGGCTTAGCAGAAGAGTTATGGAGTCTAAGAGCCTAATGTTTATTTATCTATTATAATGCATTAGACACTGTACTAAGCTTAATTACTCCATGTCCTCTAAGCCTGCTGCAAACAAGTAAAATAGGTAATTTTACTGATAATGAACTCTGAATGGAAGCGCTTAGGTCACTTGTCCAAGGTAGCATAGCCTTATAGTAAGGCAAAATGAGACTCAACCAAGGTCCATGATGCTCTTAAATCCATTGCTATTTCTTCTTGGTTTATTTTGGTTTTGAGGAAGAGTCTTTTTGTGGCTATCCTAGAATTTGTGATTCTCCTGCCTCAGCCTCTCAAATATGGGCGTTATAGGTGTGTACCACATTGACAACTCATATCCCTATCCTGTTATACTATACTTTCCTATAGGATATCATTGTGCAAACTTAACACTTCTTTTAAATGACAGTACCTTGTGGGAATAGCCATTTTTATATCAAACAATACAATTGACTATGTGTTGCATATAATTTAATCCACATATAGAGCAAATAACTAGGCTTTTCAACAACTTCTAATTTGTCAGCCCTTCAGTCCTATGCAAACATTAGAGTCTTCCATGCTTACTTGATGTAAAAAGTAATAGGTTAAGGGTCTTTCTCAACTTTATATGCTCAGTTTGCAACCAGAATGGTGATGGCGTTTTCATCTTTCAATGTGCAATCAGAATACTGGCAGAAAACCACAGCAGATGCTTGGATAACAGAGCAGGACTATCAGGCTTGGTTTTAATGTATTGTTTATATCCATGAGCAAGTTTCCATGAAGATTTTATCTTGAGCTGTTAACAGGAAATGCTGTCACAGTAGAGGGCTAATGAACTCACTAGTACTACAGCAGACAGAACAGACAAGTAACCTTCACTTAGCTACTTAAGAAAACACCGACAAAAGCCCACATATAATCAATTTGCAAGTAACTTGAACACAAGAAGGTGCTTAGTGGATAATGGCTAATCTGTTCTACTTAAAAACAAATCCTCTTAAGTTAATCTAATATGGTGGATCAAGGAGAAATGATGGATGTCCTCTATCATGATTACAGCAATACTTTGATTATCTCTGTGTTACAACCATTAACAACAAAACTGACCCACAACACACAGCTGACTGGATTATAGCTCCGAGTGACATCAAACACCTGCTTGGAAATCTCAGCTGCTCTGTATCTAAAATGTCACATACAACATACAAATGCATATTGTATACACCCATACACATACACAGAAACACGTAGATAATGTGTATCTATGTGTAAATAATACATATAGATATATTTGAACTTTCGTGCTGTGCATTTCTAACAGAATTTTGGCATCATATTAAATTATTTAAAGTCCTGAGTGCTATACATGGGGAAGATAATAGTTGTCAGGAGTTCCACATGACAGTAATGAAAATTAATAAAATGCTGGAAAATATTTCTAGGAACAGAAGTTAAGGATTCCAGGATAATTCAATCTGGATAAAGCAGTAGCATCATTTAATATCCTTGTTCCACTACTTTTCCCTGATGCCATGACCAACAAGCAATTTGGCCATATAACTATCCAAGCAAGTCGATAAGGCTTTAAAGATCCAGCTTCTCTGCCAGAGCCCAGCTCCTACCAGTCGAAGAGTTCTTGGGGGAAAAGTGAGGAGTGAGGAAGTATTAGAAATATAGATGGAGATGGCGAGAAAGACAGAGACACAGGATAGCTTCAGGAGGGCCTTTTGTCAATACCCAGCCACCCCAAATTTAATCATGATAGGCTTTTTATACATCAGCAAGGGAGGCTCAAAAGACCTCCCCCTTTCAAGGTCGAGGTATAAAGTACTAACAAGTGTAAACCCTTCAAAACACCTGGTAACCACACCCTTGGCCAAATCATCCCATTATGCAGCCCTGCTGGGCAAAGCAAGCTCAGACTTTCTGACCTTGAGTAAGACTTTACTAGGGAACCTCTGTGGAGCCCCACACTTCTCCCATAAACAAATTGGTTCAGTTTTGATCGTTAATAGAGACATTCTTTTTTTGTTGATGTTGTCTGTCTGTTTGTTTGTTGGGCAGAGTATCACATAACCTAAACTGGACTCGAACTCATTATTCCCTGTAGTTGAGGCTGGCCTTAAATTCTTTTTTTTTCTCTTTTGGCCTTAAGTTCTTGACCTTTCTGCTTTATGTTAGGGGGCACAGTAAAGAAACTAAGTGCCCTGAGCAGGGAAACACATAGGTTAACTACAGATCTTTGCTGTTCTCCAAATCCAACCCAACAGATTCATGCCCAGCTCTGTAGCAGACCACCAGCTATGGCTTCCTTCTCCAACCCTGCCATCATCTCCAGTGGATCACACAGATCTTCCCCTCCCAGGAGCCCTCCCTTGATTCATTGCTTTAACCCAGACCCCAACTCCAGCAGTCATTCCCTGGAAACCTCCAGGCCACTTCAGTCAGGGAAGCAGGTACACTAACTACAGATCTTCACCTCTTAATCTGCTCCTCCAAATTCAACGCCCGTAGTCTTATTCCCAACTCTTCAGTAGAATAGCTGCTGCAGACTCCCGTCCCCTCCTGCCACCACCATCAGTGGAACACACAGATCTCCATCTCTTAATCTTTCCCCTGCCACTCATGGCATTATCCCAGCCCCTAACTCCAACAGGCACTTCCTGGGAACCCACAGGTCACACTGACCAGAGAAACGGGTATGATAACTGCATCTCTCCAGCTCTCTCTCTGGTCCTTCAAAGTTACGCCCCCGAGTCTCATCCCCAGCTCTGTAGCAGACTACCAGCTGCAGCCACTTCCACTGCCAGCCCCCATTTCCAGGGCATCACTGAGATCTTACCCTCTTAACTTGCCTCCCCCCACTCATTTCTTTATCCCAGACTACAGCTCCAGCAAGCACTCCCTGGGAACCCACAGGCCACTCTGACCAGGGAAGCAAGTGAGGTAATTGCAGATCCTCATCTCTTCCTTCATTCTTCCAAGTTTAATCCCCAAGTCTCATCAACAGCTCTGAGGTAGACTTTCCGCTGTGGCCTCCCCTGACCCTCAGCCACCATTTCCAGGTGACTGAGAAGATCCTCGTAGAAGAACCTGCTTCTGCCCTTCCTGTGTCTCTCCTCAGCCCTCCTCTAGCCAATCCCCCTTCCTGTGTGTTACGGAAACTGGGCAACTCTCGACTGAATGAAAAATGGGTCAAGACAAATTACAGACTTTCTAGAATTGAATGAAACTGCATATAAAACATATCCAAGCTTGTGGGACACAATGCAGGTGGTTCTAAGAGGCAAGTTCATAGCACTAAGTACCTACATTAAAAAATAAAAATGGGAGAGATCTCATACTAGCAACTTAAAGCATACCTAAAATCTCTGGAATAAGAAGAAATCACACCAAAAAGGAGTAGATGACAAGAAATAACCGAACTCAGGGTTGAAACCAATGAAATAGAAACAAAGACAATAATACAAAAATCAAAGAAACAAAGTTGGTTCTTTGAAAAGATCAATAAGATTGACAAACTCTTATCCAAATTAATTGAAAGGCAAAGAGAATATTCAAATTAACAAAATTAGAAATGAAAAGGGAAACATACAACAGACATTGAGGAAATCCAGATAATAATAAGGACATACTTTAAAAGCCTGTACTACACCAAATTCAAAAATCTAAAAGAAACTGATAGTGATCTAAATACATATCACTTATTAAAGTTAAATTACGATCAGATAAGCAACTGACACAGGCATATAACCCTTAGTGAAAGAAAAGTGGTCATTAAAATTCTCTCAACCAAAAAAAGCCCAGGTCCAGATGGTTTTAGGGAAGAATTCTACCAGACATTAAAAGAGAGTTAATGCCAATATTCCAGAAATTATTTCACCAAATAGAAACAGAAGGAACATAGACCAAATCATTTTACAAGGTCACAGTTACCCAAGCCACATGAACACCTAATAATACAAGAGAATTACAGACCCATTTCCCTTATGAATATAGACAAAAAATTCTCAATAAAATACTTTGAAACTGAATCCAATAACACATCAAAAAGGTCATCAATCATGATCAAGTAGGTTTTATCCCAGAGATTCAGGGATGGCTCGACATATGTAAGGAGATAAATGTGATCCAAAATATAACAAACTGAAAGATTAAAAACCACATGATCATCTCATTAGATACATAAAAGGCCTTTGACAAAACCCAACACTGCTTCATGATAAAAGTCCTGGAGATATTACAGATACAAGAGATATACCTCAACATAATAAAATCAGTTTACAGCAGGTCGATAGCCAACACTAATTAAATGGAGAGAAACTCAAAGCAATTCCACTAACATCAAGAACAAGACAAGGTTGTTGTGGTGGTTTGAAAGAAAATGGCCCCAAAAGGCTCATAGGGAGTGGCACTATTAGGAGGTGTGGCCTTGTTGGAGTAGGTGAAATATTGTTGGAGGAAGTGTATCACTAGGGGCAGGCTTTGAGGTCTCAGATGCTCAAGCTTGGCCATTGTGTCTTAGTCTTTTCCTGCTTCTTTAGGATCAAGATGTAGAAGTCTCCTTTTCTAGCACCATGTCTGGGCACATGCCACCATGCTTCCCATCATGATGATAATAGACTAAACCTCTGGACTATAAGCTAGTGCCAATTAATTGTTTCCTTTATAAGAATTGCCATGGTCATAGTGTCTCTTTACAGCAATAAAACCTTAAGACAGAAGTTGGTACCAGGAGTGGGGCATTGCTATGACAGACATGACCATATTTTTGTTTGGAGCAATGTGGACTTTGGATTAGAAAATCAGCTGAATGCTTTAAACAGAATTTAATGGAGCATGGAAGATAATGGTGCTGAGTGTGATTTGAACTGTGGGGGCCCAGCTCAAGAAATTTCAGAGGAGAATATTAATATGTGGCCTAGAGACCTTTCTTGTGATATTTTGGCAAAGGACATGGCTGCTTTCTTCCCTTGTCTACAAAAAATCTGCTTCAGGCTAAATTAAAGAGTTATAGATTAATAGCTTTAGCAGAAGACATTTCAAAACAACATAGCAATCACTACGTTATCCTGGTTATTAGTGTTCACTCTTATGTGGACCTATATTAAAAAAGAGCAAGTTAAAAAATATACGGGAAAGGGGCACCAGGAAGTGGAATGCAGCTAAGTATTCAAGGAGATAAATGGATTAAAGAAAATCCAGTTGTTAAATGGAATACAGTGAGTGGTGCCCTCAGGGCAAGAGCCAAATCAGCTAAGCATCCATTTGTGAAAAGGAATTAAAGAAAAGTTTAGAGCTGGGTGTGGTGATGTATACCTTTAATCCCAGCACTTGGAAAGCAGAGGCAGGTGAATTTCTGGGTTTGAGACCAGCCTGCTCTACAGATCAAGTTTCAAGACAGCCAAGGTTAGACAGCAAAAGAAACCATCAAAAATAGAAGGTTGGTGAAAATGTACTTAAATGAGGAGGCCATGTTCCAGACCCAGCAAGCAGCAGAACTTGGCAGTTTTGGCTATGTGTTTTTGGCTTTAGAATCAAGGATACATTAAAGGGGTTATGGAATCTCCCTCCACAACTAAGGAAAGCTAAAGAGGCCAGATGTCAGGGGTGTCTTTGCATGGAGTCCTAGAGAGGCCATTTTATGAAGCTGTGAAGGTGAAGCCTGGATTGCCTTGGAGACCCCAAGATGTTGGAGATGCCAGAGTCATGGGATACCTGCCAAGTAGAGCAGCTAACAGAGAACTGACCCAGCCCAAGAGAAAGAAGTGTATTACAGTCAAAAAAGCATAAAGGAGTTGGAGTTCTGAAGAGACCTTTGACATCAAACATGGAGATGCAGAGTTTGCCCAGCTGGTGTTTGGTCTTGCTTTGGTCTGGTATTTCCTCATTATTTTTCCTTTCCTCCCTTTTGGACCAGTAATGTATATCTTGTGCAATTGTATTTTAGAAGTATATGATCTGTTTTTTCGTTTTGGTTTTATAGGGCATTATAGTTAAAACATTGGATGAACCTCAGAAGAGACTTTAAACTTTGGACTTTTACAGGATTGAGACTGTTACAGACTATGGGGACTTTAAAACTTGGATTTAATGCATTTCTGCATTATAATAGGCTACAAGCATATGGGGACCAGGGAGTGGAATGTGGTGGTTTGAAAGAAAATGGTCCCCATAGGCCCATAGGGTATGGCACTAATTGGAGGTATGGCCTTGTTGGAGCAGGTGAGGTGTTGTTGGAGGAAATGTTTCACTCGGGGGCAGGCTTTAAGGTTTCAGATGCTCAAGCTTGGCCAGTGTGTCTTGGTCTCTTCCTGATGCCTGCAGATCAAGATGTAGAACTCTCAGCACCTTCTCCAGCACTATGTCTTCCTGCATACCTCCATGCTTCCTGACATGAAAATAATAGACTAAACCTCTGAATTGTAAGCCAGCTCCAATTAAATCTTTTCCTTTGTAAGTGTTGCCATCACCATTGTATCTCTTCACAGCAATAAAACCCCAATTAAGACATTGTCCACTCTCTCCATACCTATACAATATAGTACTTGAAGTCTTAGCTAGAGCAATAAGACAACTCAAGGAGATCAAGGGGATACAAATTGGAAAGGAATTTATCTTTTCTTGCAGATGATATGATAATATACATAAGTGACTGAAACATTACCCCAGGGAACTCCTACAGATGATAAACAATTTCAGTAACGTAGCTAGATACAAAATTTACACAAAAATTGGTATCCCTCCTATATACAAAGGACAAACAGGTTGAGAAAGAAATCAAAGAAACAGCACCTTTTATAATAGCCTCAAATAACATCAAGTGTATTGAAGTAACTCTAATCAAGTAAGTGAAAAACTTGTATGATAAAAACTTCAAGTCTTTGAAAAAAGAAATTGAAGACAACATCAGAATATGAAAAGAGCTCCCATGTTCATGAATCAATAGGATTAAAATAGTAAAAATGTCCATCCTACCAAAAGCAATCTACAGATTCAATACAATCCCCATCAAACTTTCAACATAATTCTCCACAGATCTTGAAAGAACAATTCTCAGGTTCATATGGAACAACACAAAACCCAGGATAGTTAAAACAATCCTATACAATAAGAAAAAAACTGCTGAAGGTCTCAGCATTCCTGATTTCAAGTTGTACTACAAACCTATACTAATAACAGTGTGGTATTGGCATGAAAATAGAATGTTGATCAATGGAATTGAATTGAAGATCCAGACATAAATACACACACCTAGGGACACCTGAACTTTGATAAAGAAGCTAGAAACATACACTGGAAAAAAGACTCAATAAACAGTTCTTATCTTACTAGATTCTGCACGATGAAGACTGCAAATAGATCTATACTTATCACCCTGCATTAAAGTGAAGTCCAAATGGATCAAAGACCTTACCATAAAACCAGATAATACTGAACCTGATAGAAGAGAAAGTAGTGAATAGCCTTGAACTCATTGGCACAGGAAAAGACTTTCTGAACAGAACACCATTAGTACAGGCACTAAGATCAACAATTGATAAATGGGACCTCATGAAAGTGAAATCTTCTGTAATGCAAAGGGCACCATCAATAAGCTAAAATGGCAGCCTATAGAAGGGGGAAGATTTTGTTTTTAGCAACTGTACATCTGATATAGGACAAATATCTAAAATATATAAAGAACTCAAGAAACCATGTATATATATGGTTACGCACAAACACACACACACACACACACACACACACACACACACACACACACACATAACCTCCAAATAATCCTATTAAACAATGAGGTACAGAAATAAGCAGAGGATTCTGAATAGAAGAAACTCAGATGGCTGAGAACCACTTTAAAAAAAATGTTCAACATCCTTAGCTATCAGGGAAATCCAAAGCAAATCAAAATTACTTTGAGATTCCATCTTCTGCCTACCAGAATGACCAAGATCAATAGCATAAGTGCTCATGCTGGCAAGGATGTGGAATAAGGGGAACACCCACCCATGGAAATGCAAACTCATACAGCTACTATTAAAGTCAATATGGCAGTTCCTCAGAAAAATGGGAATCAATCTACCTCATGCTCCAGCTGTACCACTCTGGAGCATATACAAAAAGGATGCTTCCTCCTACCACAGAAGCATTTGTTCAACCATGTTCATTGATGCTCTATTCATTGTAGCTAGAAATTGGAAATAACTTAAATGTCCCTCAACAGAAGAGTAGATAAAGAAAATGTAGTACATTTACGCAATGGAGTATTATTCAACTGTTAAAAATAAAATCATGAAGCTTGCAGGCAAATGGAAAGAGATAGAAAAAAATCATCTGGAGTGTGATAACCCAAATCTGCACAGGTCTGTATCAGTCCTTCTGTGTATGTATTATAGCTTTCAGTTTGGTATTTTTAAGGGACTGCTGAGTACGTGAATGAATGGGTCTCTGATTCTTATGTCTTCTCTTGGGCTCTTTTCCTTCTGTTTGTTTGCCTTGTCCAACTTTGATATGATTTTTAAAAATATCATATTTTATTTCATTTATGGAAAAAGATACTGCAAAAAATTTCAAGTGGTGAGAAAAAATCATCTGCACACTTGCAGCAACATTACATTCAAGTTTGCTGACAGTTGTAGAATCTTCACCCTGATCAAATTGCCTGTGTGCCTCTCTCAAGTTGTAGCTTACAAAGATGACAAACTGCCTTAGAATTTTGCCTGTCCATCTAAATTGGAAGCAATTCTATAAAGCATGAGGTCAATAATTGGATTAACATTTAGAAGAAAACCAGCATTCTCTGTAGAAAAGTCTTCAGCTCACTGACTTTCAACATTGGTTTGCAGTGAGAATCTCAGTAACATATCCACCTTGTGCCAGACCTCTAGGAGATTCCAGATTCTCAATGATGAAGGCTGGATTTCTCACATCCATGTGGACAAAACTATCTTGACCATCACTGCTTGTGGAAATGCAGGCTGGATGTAACAGCCTGTCTTCCTGTTGGCTTCCATTGCTGTTTGTCTACTTGCTCAGTCTCCAGTTTTCTCTGGATCACAAAGACACTCTCATGCTAAGCCTCTGGTATCTACTGGGTTCTACTTCTCTAGTCAGTAATCAGGCACTGTGTCCTACACCTGAACACCTGCTTGGATAGTCTCAAAGTAGAGGGTAATTTAGCAGTGTACAGTGCTCAAGGTGTCAAATTTCACTGTCCCAAGTTAGTACATGTAAAAAAAGATGAATCTCCTCAAGACAAATAAATTACATGAAAAAGTTCATTGTGAGCACAGCTCATTTTAAAAATCACATTTAAATTTGCAGCCCAAGTACTTCTCTTGGTGAAGGAGACATCATGCAATTGTTATGCAAAATATTAGAGTGAAAAGGTTCTTATAGATTTAATTCATTATCATTTCATGAGAACGAAATTAATTTTTCTTTGGCTAATTTAAATATTGGCACTAATCATCCTAATAGAGATTACTGAGAACAAAAAGACAATGAAGAACAAGCTTGAATAGCATTTTCCTGTCTCTAAAGACCACAGTTGAAAGCATCAAGCATTTAATCTTTTTCTTTTTCTGTGAGGTAATTTTCAAAATGAGTATTTCAGATCAGTGATCCAATTTAAACTCTGTTAAATGCCAAGAAAAGTATGTAATTGGTTATAATTCTTCTGCCATATTTCAGTGTTAAAGTCAAGGCCTTCTGCAAACATTTGAAAAGTATTTGGGAATCCATGCATCATTATTTAACAAAAGCTCTCTCTTCTTCATGGCATAGACATGCTATATGTCATTTTCTTTCTGACAGCTCCTGTGATAGGAACTTTTCAATGTGTTTGTAATAAGGAATTGTGGATAATAAAATTTTATTCCCCTTGAAAGGATATGCTGAAAGTCAGAGAGAGTGGGTATTCATTTTAAATTTACCAGACTTCTCAAAAATATTATTTTTATTCAAAAGATCAAGAGAAATTGGGAAACCACTTAAAGCCAGCCATCCAACATCACCTGTTACCTTGGAGCAAGGAGATAGCAGACCCCTGGAAGAGATTTTGCTTCCCACTCTTCTACCAGGGAGAGTAGAAATCTCAGCATAATCAGAACGTCTCCACACCCAGAAGACTCCCCACCCCACTCCCAGTTATTATGATCTTGAGACCAGAAGACCTGCAGAACCACGTGAACACCCCATGAGACTTTACCTGCACTGAAACCTAGTGGACAGAAACATATTCAAGCTAAATTGGTTATAGAAAGGCAACCCCAGAGTTGAGAAGATCCATATGGAAGTTTAAATGGATGCCTGGTTAGCTCAATAGTAACAAAAAGAGTCCTCTTGACGAAGTTCAACATCCCTTCAGAATAAAAGCCCCCAAAAATTAGAAGTGAAAGGGTAATAATAATAATAATATCAATAATAAATGACACCACATAATAAAGGGTCTACATAACAAATTCATAGCCAATATTAGAGTAAATGGGGAAACCTGAAAACATTTCTTCTAACATCAAGAATGAGATGAGCATTGTCTACTCTCTCCAGTCTTATTTAATAAAGTGCTTGAAGTTTTAGCCATAGCAATAATGCAAGAGAAAGAAATTTTATATATATATATATATATAAAAGGAAAGGAGAGGTCAACTCATCCCTATTTGCAAATGATATGATCCTATATGTAAGATGCTCTAAAACCCCATCAGAAACTTATATCTGATAAACACTTCTAGAAATGTCAAGATGCAAAACCTAGTAGCCTTTCTGCATACCAATACTAAATAATGCCAAAAAGAGATCAGAAAAACAATCTCTTATAGAATAGCTTCAATGAAATAAAACTGTCTAGAGACAAATGTGACTATGAAGGTAAAAGATCTCTACAATGAAAACCTTAAAACTCCAAAGGAAAATGTTATTAGACACTAGAAGATGAAAATAACTCTGGGCAGGGTTAATGGGGAATAGTGTGAAAATCTTGTACTACTGAAAGCAATCACTGCCATTTCTATCAAACAACATTAACATTCTTCACAAAAAGTGAAAAAAAAATCAATTTCAAATTTCATAAAATTGAACAAAAGTTAAAAAAATAGCCAAGGGAATCCTGAGAAAAAGGACTCCAAGAGCTGATTCTGGGCATAGGGTGGGCACACACATGGACATGTTAATTAGCAAAATGAATAAAAGACTTTGAAACAAATGCATGTGGCTACAACTAATTAATCTTTGTCAAGAGTGCAAAACACATACTACAGAAGAGTCATGCTTTAGAAAGTGCTGGGGAAATAGTATACATGCCTAGAGCAAACCCTTTCAGTGTGTGAAAAGTCAACTCACAGAACATAGCTAAAGACAAATTAAACACCCTGCAAATTTAATATGTGAAATTAACTGTGTGAAAGATCAAAGACCTCAGTGTAAGAATCTGAAACTTGGGGATGGAGAGACAGCTTGGCGGTTAAGAGCTCTCGATCTTGTAAAAGAGCCCAGTTCCATTCCCAGCATGCACA